ACGCCTTAAAGCGGGAACAATCGCCTTAAGTAATCAGGACAGGATCGGAACATCCTGTTGTGATCACCAAGCAAGGATTTTTCAAAGAAATTTCAGGGCCGTGCTACAAGGACAAAGAAGCTGGTTGGAAAGAGCCCCCAGTACCAAACTGCAGCAATCCGGTCCACCGAGAAAGAAGACACTAGTCTTGGTTAGAGCTGAGAAAGGCCTGGAGTTCAAAGGAGGATGGGATAAAGTACACCAAAAGGAAGTTGCAATATAGAGATAAAACAAGACACACCTAACATATATGTTCATTTGAACATTGGGAAGTGTCATTAAAATACAGGTGCTTTGTTTCTTCTATGTCTGTCTATCCTGCATAGATATATACTTGTTTTCATACTATTTATATCACAAGAAAGAATAAAGACCAGGAACTCTGAGTGAGCCAAACAGTCCTAGAAAACCAAGGAAGTGTCCCAAGGTAAGGAAGGGCCGAGGAGCACAGGCGGTGACACAGCCAGGTGACAAGCGGGCTCAGCCCTGACGGCCACACTCAACGGTCAAGCCGAGACAGGATCCACAAATGTGAAGTGGTATCAGCTAAACGGCCCAAGAACCCAAGAAGCATTAGGAAGAGTCCACCCCTCACCTCCAGAATGCCCAACTGATTTCAAGGAAATACTCAAAAGGCATACACACGCTTTTCATAATGTTAACAGACCAAGCCAAAGCATCATGACGACAGGACGATGAGTTGCGTGACAGCGGCCAAGTGTGCCATGGGAGTACATCGTTTCTGGTGATGGGGGTGGAGACAGGATGGCAAGTAAAAACCTGTTTGAAAACCATATACAGAAAAATGACAAGGTTTGGCTGATTTCACAAATCAAGTGCAGCTGATGTCCGGTGGCCAAGGTTAGGCTCATCTTAGAAAAAACCCAAACCACACCAGGACACCGACAACTGATTAGTCAGAAACCAGATCTGTAAGCTGGGCAGGTTTGAGGAGATACTGCTTCTGGTAACTATGTGAACTCTGGGTAGGTAACAAAATATTATAGCCCTGGGATGGGTCAAAATTAGTGAGTAAATAATGAAGAAATGAATGAAGCTTGTAGTGCGGATCTTCTAGAATAGGTTTAAGTGCGGTAAGTTTGTAATAATGTATCTGGGCATTTTGTTTGTGTTTTAAGGTATGTGGCATGTTCAAAAAATTAGTCTGCTAAATTTAATTGTTTGAAGGAATTTAATTTTATAACTAATGCCTAAACATTAACAGTTGCTTAATATACTGAGCAATAAACAAGCAAAAAATGCTCTTCCTCCAGACAGGAAAAAAAATTAGGAGCAGTAGCTCATTGGAAAGGCTCTCATTCTTGAAGTGGTTCTTATTGCACAGGCTTTAAATATTCCAAACAAAGCCACAAAAGGAAAACACGTCATATACACATTTTAAGTCTGAAACACCAAGATAGTTACCGTCACTGTCACTTTGGTGCTGAGATAATGGACACTTCAGCTTTCCCTTGATATTCTTTCTCAATTTGTTGTTGAACCCAAGTTTGTGTGCCTGCTGGACACACAGGGAGGCCAAATAAACTGAAACATCAAAGTCTGGAGCAGAGAAAGGCTTATTGCAAGGTCCAAGCAAGAAGAACGAGCGGCTCGTGCTCAAAAGGCCTGAATTCCCCAGTGGCTTTCAGGCAAGGGTTTTTAAAGACAGGGCTAGGGGGCAGGGTCATAGGATGCATGGTCAGCTTGGATTGGTTGGTGGTGAGGTAACAAGGTGAAATTTCACGAACCTCAACCTTATGCTTCCAGTCTGGGGTCTACACGCTTGTGGTCAGCATGCAGTCATCAACCTCCAGCTGGGCGGGGGTCTTGGTTTCTACAGACCAACTCACAGATGTGTGTCAGATTGCTGTCTACATCCCTTCAGGAGGAACCAGAGGTCCTGTGTCTCTACTGTCTAATCATTAACTGCTTGAGCCTGCTCTCTGGAACGGGAGAAGACCTAGGAGATGAAAGCTTTTTTTTTATACTAAAAGGAAATGGGGGACATGGAGGGGCTTCTGTACCCAGGAAGGTCCCACAGGGTCCTACTTGGTTTCACACCCCTCAATTTTCTTGGATGCTCCTCAATCTTGAGGGGGAGCAGGTGCAGGACAAGAATGGAAATAAGAGAGGTTTGGATAAGGAGGTTATCATAAACGTGACACAGGAATTCGGTTTAGGGGACTCAGTTTCAAATTTTCCAATGTTTTCCACAGGAGCATATTTTTCATTTTAAAAAATGAAAAGATAATCAGCATTTCTTTGAAAAACAGCACGAGGCCACCCGTTCCTGAGGTGAGTCTGTACACGAGGCAGAGCCTCAGGCTTCCCTGTGGAGCTGCTGTGCCAGCGTCGGCTAGAGTCTGGGCTTGGGAACACGCAGCTGACCTGACCGAGGGCGTGGTGAGTGGTGCCAGGGCCCTAGGGTGGGAAAGCATGTGAAAAGGCAAGGCTGGCAGGAAAAGGGAAAAGTAGCTGCAAGCAAGAAGCAAAGGGCAAGGACCCAGGGCATCTCAATGAGGTTGTTAAGCCCAAATCAAGAAGACAGGGAACAGAAGACACGTTGGCAGGGCCAGGGATGAACTTTGTAGATCAAATCAGGTCCACGGGCTGGAGCAGGAGGAAGGCGGTGCCTGGGCACCTGGGGGATCTCCCTGCTGGCTCCTGACCTATAATCAGAAATTCGGACCTGCTTCATTCCCTGTCAGGTACTGACCACTCTCTACACCAGCCACGTTGCTGCATCTGCAGCCAGGGTATAATAGCTGAGGACGAATTTGTTCACATTCAGCATCACTTCTAATCATGCAACCAGGGCAAACTCACTGTACTTTTTAAAGGGCTCTGCTACCCAGCTTCCAAACGTGTCTGGCACAAGTGGGCAGAATATTAGCCTCGTTTGAGTAACCGACCTCATTCTAAACCATAGTGGGAAGACTTTTTTATAGAAAAAACTTTACATACACCTGAGACTTCTCAGCTCTCTATCAAGGAGCAGGCATATAGTAAGTCAAGAACCGAGAAAAGTGACGGAGATTCTCCAAGGGAACACCGTTTATTAGGTCAATATTGTTTTTCAAGATCCTACTTTGAAAGGTCCTACTGAAGGTCAGATCTAGTGAAGGACACTCAGCAGGAATCTGGACAGTCCGAGAAAATACCACACCAACATTTTCACACAATGGGCAGTGATAAGCAAGAAGCTGTCTCTTTGTTTACTGAGCTATTCAAGCCTTGTTAAAACTACAGCTAGCTTACATTTGAATGCCTCAGGGCAGTTCTGCATAACGTCTCTAGAACAGTGACATCACCAGAAAGGAACTTAGTGCACCACTTCTTCATAACTGCTTAATGTGAACACCCCAGGTGTCCACTTAAGGCAGTCGATTTAAGCTTATACAAGATACCCAGGAGCAGGCTCCAGATTTGGAGATTAGCACTCTGATGCATGGATGTGATACTGATGAACTAATGGCTCACTTAGCAGGTCACAAAGTGCTAAGAATCATTCTAAGCACTGAAAATTATTTGAGAACCAATGTTGGTCAACACATTTGATAATATTCCTCAAAATGAGCACTTGTGCACCAAAGGCTTTTAGAAAACCTGCTGAAATAATGATACAATAACAACATATGAGGGGGCAGGCACAGAAGTGGTTTTGTTCCCCAGTTGATCTAAATTACTAGAATAAAAAGAAGTCACAGAATAGGCACCTACATTTGCTCTGTATTTCTAACAACTGTCATCATCCAAAGAAACCTCGTAAATACTGACAGGGTGGGGGGGTCAAGTTATCTGATATAATCAAAATTCTTCTTCAGTAAGCCAGCATTACAATGAATTATTATAAAAACCTGTGGAGAGGAAAAAAGCCAGGAGGAAGTTAATAGAAACCTCTAGGCTGAAGACTGCCCACAAAAATCATTGCTAGTGATATAAACACAAAGCAGATGTTCTAAAAGAAATTAAAATTTAATTAGATGTGAAGTCTTCCAGCTATTACCTGTTTGCACGCAAGACAACAGCCATAAGCTGGATTTTTAGAATCATTTTTGTTATCATCTAAAAATCACATTTCTTCTAGGCCAATAAGGCAAAAAAAAGATCTGTGAGCTAGTAGAATTTCAACATTAAAAAAAATTAAGATATCAAACAATCGCTTTACAACAATGAATGTATCTTGATTTGATTTATTTAAAGCAACTTCTAGGCTTCTTTAAACTTATAGTGTAAGTTCTAAGGAACAAAAAGTCAAAAGACTTTTTATAGTGAATGTATTAGTCTATGCTAAGAAGTGAGCCACGTTAATAATCCTGAGTATCAAAAACAAGATTATGTCCATTAAAGCTGCACATTTGATCTACTTTGGTTATATTTGTAAAGCAGATTATAACTCAAGACTATGGACGCACATTCCTATTAGAATCCTGGAAATTTCAGTTGACATTTTCTGGTTATTACACTTATAAGTCTTTCATTCATTTTCTGGTTTTCGATTTTAAATTAGGTTAAAAAATATTTTTCAAGTTCAAGGATTTGTTTTTATGGGGCAATTATTTTAATTTTATACCAGTAAATTTAGAACAACTCAATCTAAGAAAAAGTTCTTCAGATTGTTAAAAACAAACAAACTTAAGAGGCCCCTTTTAAAACTGAAATTGTGATTTTGTGTAAATTTACTTCCTAGATTTTTAGTTGTATTTTTTTTCCTACCTCAGTGCATGAATACAATATATCATCCTTGGTATGTTTTTCCGGTCATAGACATCTGTTGTTTCTGGGTAAAATATCTGGAAAACAAAAGGGAAAAATCTGTTTATCATACGTTGCTTTTCACTATTACTTTAACTCTCTCAAACGACCTTACACTGATGAAAAGGAAACTCCGTTGTACCTTATCCTGTTCTCCCTGTGGACCAGTCACTGCATCTGGTCCCCTGCCTGCCAGCGCCTCTTAGTGGCTCAGAAGAGTAGGGGGGTCAAAGTCAGTCACTTCAAGAAGGCTTTGTCCACAGGGCTGGGTGGCAGTTTCACTCCACAAGGCTTGAGTTTGTGTAGGCTTTGCTTTCTGTATCAGAATCACTCCTGTGACTGCCCCGAGGTCCCCGGGCCTGAGAAGGGTGTCCCTTTGATAGTATTTTATTATATTGTTAAGAACTTGGCTACACAGTTCTACAAACGTGTGTATACACACATACACATGTATTACTTTAAGCAGAAAAAAAATCCGTTTTCAGTAAATAAAATCTGTAAAGTAGATAAAGTATGAAAGAAAAATACCTATAATCCTACCTCCAGACTGTCACTATTAATATTTTGGTATATTTTCTTCCAGCCTTTTTCCTGTATGTCTCTGATTTTTTATGTTTATGTATGTGTGTACTTGAAAACCAAATTGTATATATTGTCAACCTGTTTAAAACATTTAATAGAACTGAACTGTTTCCCATCCCTTCCATTTGTCTACAAGAACATTATTTATAATGGATATATATGATTCTTTCATATTTTCAAACCATAATTTAATCAGTTCTCCATGGTTGAACATTTTGCCCAGTTTTGTCCCTATTATGAGTCACTGCCATAAACATGCTTGCATTCTCTGAGCACCTGATTACCTCTTTTGGATAAAAATCTATGTATGGAGTTAGTAGGCTGAAAAGTCTGGACACTAAAGCTTTTAATACATACTTATACTATTCTTGAGTTTGAAACTAAAACCCTAATAAGAAACAGATTTTAGATAGGGCACCAAAAATGAATAATTAGGATCAAAGCTTCTAAGATTAAGATAAGCATATTGGAATTACTTGCTTTTGGTAAGTATTTTATAAAATTTGATACAAAAACTAAAATTAAATCATGGACCATATGGTAGTAGTTGATACTCAAGCACAATTTTCTCCTGGACATTGAGAAAAGCTAAGAAACGAGAAAAGCAAAGTTTCTTGAGCTACAAATGTATACTCACTGAGGACTTACATGTCTGTAGCTTATGAAATTTCAAAGGTCTTTCTAACTCGCTTTTAACCCATTTGCTGTTAAAGTTTCAATGAGAAGAGGATTCCTAATTCAGAAGAAATGTTACGAGATTTAAAGTTCTATTACATATACAGGGGATGACTGTAACTCCCCTTCTCCTCTTTAAACGGAAGCCTTTTACATTGATATGTCTCCTGGAAAATCATTATGAATGTGTCTTCTATTATCAAGGAGATGGGATCAATTTATAGTTCACTAAGACGTTTTCTTCAACTTCGTAACCCCAGTGCCTAACATGATGCTGAACACAGAGCAGGCACTTCATATTGATACATGATGGAATTAATTAATACATCTAAGTCAATTCAGTCCACTGCTGTTTTCTCATCCCAGCAATGTAATGTATCACCAACTTCATAATAAACATTGGTATTAAAACAGAAACTGCTACACGGATCACTTGTTTGGCTTATAATCAAAATAAATATGGCCCAACAGACACACAATTTGAGAAGGTTTAAATCAAACCTTTCAAACATAATAAAATTATCCTAATTTAACATATCTTAAAATAGAAAAATACAGAAAAATAGCATGTGAACTTCTTTATTAATTTATCATTTTACGTTATTTATATTTATATATTACTTTCTTTATTAATCTGTTTACCACTCAGCCCATCAGTACTTGCTAAATGGCAACTTAGAAGTGAATTCTGTTTTATAACTATTGCCCAGCAGGGAATAGCACTCAACGTTCTCAGCAGTTTAGAAGGGAAAAAAAAGGCAAAATAAAACAGTTCAGCACTGACTACTGCAAGATAAAATGAACTGAGTTAAAACAGATATGAGCACAAATATATTAAAAACTGGCATTCATAATTTACCTTTACATTAAAGAATCCTTTGTTTTTGTTGGAGGGTGTTTTGTTCCACAGTGATTTTACCATTTTATAGGCCAACCAGCAATATACGATAATTCCAGTAGCTGCAAATTCTCACCAGCATTTGGTAGTATCATTTTTTTTTCAAGTTGAAGTATAATTGATTTACAGTATTGTGTTAGTTTCAGGTGTACAGCTAAGTGATTCAGTTACTCATTTTTTTTCCGATTATTTTCCATTATAGATTATTCCATGATATTGAATATTGTTTCCTGTGTTACACACTAAATTGGGGTATTTTAAATTGCAAACCTGGATTAATAAGAACAACAAGTCTAAATAAGTCAGTAGCCTATCTTCTTGCTGGATCACCCTTTTTTTTTTTTTTAAATGGAGTTACTGGGGAATGAACCCAGAACCTTGTGCATGCTAAGCATGCACTCTACCACTGAGCTATACTCACCCCCTGGACCATTCTTAAATCATTTCTTTAAAATAGCTGTACATACTATTCAAAAAGTTCAAAATCACAAAACTATGGAGATGGAGAACAGATTAGTGGCTGCCAGGGGACAGGGCTGGGAAAAGGATGCTATATAAAGGTCAACCTCCCTGTGGTACCTGTATCTTGATTGAGTGGAAGTCACTCAAATCTATTCATGCATAAAACCACACACACACACACAAATAAATGCATATAGAAATGGTGAACAGTGAATAACGTCTGGAGCCTAGTTAACACTGACACATTAATGTCAATTTAATGCTATACTACAGTTATGAGCTTCCCCATCGGAGGAAGTTGAATGAAGTTTACACAAAGATGCACTATTGTTGCAACTTCCTGAGATTCTAAAATTACTTCAGAATAAGAAGTTTAAGAGATAGTTCTATAATTTCTACCACATGTAATTATTTCCTCATTTCCTCCACTTGTCTACGTGTCTCAGAGGTGTAAGGGTGCATGCTCTTTGAATTTAACAAGCTCTGAACGTTTGCTGAATGAGTTTTATTTGGAAGATCTATTTAAGGAGTAAGAGTTATAATCACTTAGCCATGAAAATTTAAAGTGACACTATGATTTAGAATACTTTATCAAAAAATTTATAATTATAATTTATAATGATACAAAATATCCTGATACAATGAGATATGGAATCCTCAGTATGAATACCAACACCAACAAGGGAGGTGGCTATTCTAAATCAACTACCTACCAGCCAGAGCTTGTTCTGACCTTGCTTACTTTGTGCACACGTTGACCTGACTGCTCTCAATCCCTACACAGACTTCATTCTGAATTCTGGCCATATATTACTTTGAATAGGCTTTCCATATTTCTGTTCTCAAGTTTCTCATTCCTGGGGCAGTAAGGACATCTGTTGCTTTAATAAAGTTCAGTCTGCTAAATCACTTTCCACAATAAGGTGTTTGCACTTCCCCTTCTGTCTTCCCAGTTCAGCTTACCTTGGGTAGACCAATAGACTCCATCGCTCTTAACCACTGGACCGTGTTATCTGTGTGTCGAAAATGAAGGCCGGACTTCTAATGTGCGGATGGGTGGCGGTTAGTGGGGTGGGAGATGGAAAGAAGCGAACACACAAAAAGTGAGTCAAAACAGTACTAACTTTTTTCATCAGTACGATGCTTTCAATTGTATTTCTCCTAGAATACCGTTATTAAAGCTCACATAAATCTGCCAGAGACATGATGAAGCAGACCAGACTATCTCAGAGTCACTCCAACCATGTGGGATGGACCAGTTTCCAGAATTCACATGCTTGAGGTAAGTCTGAGCTGGAATCTCAAAGACCATTTACTAGGACATCTTACGACGTTTTACGGGACATGTGTGCACATGCATGAGCAGGTGTGCACACGGTGCCAAGACGGGGGAAACCATGGCTGAGAAGCCTAGTGACTTCAGGAAAATAGGATTTTTAGAGGACTAAGTGCCATTTTGTGTGGTTTCTGGTTCTGACAAAACATTTTTTCTGACCATGAATATAGTATGATTTCTGTAAAAAGCCTAAAAAATGTAGAAAAACACAAAATGAAAACAAAAAACACTCCACGATTCAGAGCTAATTTTAGTGTTTATTCCTTCCACAATTTAATCCTCATCGCAGCCTTAGACAAGAAGTAAGCCTTCAGCGGAAATACTTTTTATAAGACCTTTATCTACCCATAGAATTAAAACAGGCTATGCTATCCCTGCCCTACAAGCCTCATCAGCCAGCCGCTATTTCCTGCACAGTCTGTAAATACAGCATCCTTGTCACTGTCCCATGAAGTCTGAACCATTGAGAGCTTTAAAATGATCTTATATATTTAATTAGTTAAATGTGTACCACAATGCTATTTCATTTTTCTTTTTTAATAAATGTCCAAAAAAGTAACTACAGCAAGTGTCTTCACATAACTAACATCCGGTGGTAGATCATCACATTCAGCAAGTCCAGCCCTTCCCATCTTCTGCAACCTTCTACAAACGAACAGCTGATGTAACAAAACGTATTTTTGTTGTTGTTAGAATAAAGTATAAGCAAACTAATATCTGACAAATATCTACACGTTTTTGATAGTGGCCACTATTTATTGAGATTGATCTGTGTGTGTCAAGCACTTTACATAAATTATCTCTGATTTTCAAAATATCCTGCAAGGTAATTACCATTCCCATTTTTTTTTTTAAGAGATGAGGGTAAACCTGGCCAAAAAGATGAAGTGATTTGCTTAAAGTCAAACAGCTGTTAAGGGGCTGAGCTGGGATTCAACACTAGGTCCCTCTGGATCTGAAAACATCCCCTGTGCTAACACTCCCCAGGGAAGAACACAGGCCCCAGTGGTCATGGGATTATTCATCAGAGGGAAGAAATTAGCTAATTACTATGAAGTAACTAGAGGGTGGGGGAGAGGAGTGGAAATAGGAAGGACAGAAGGCGATGAAGAGACAGCCCAGACAGTTAACAGCCGGGCAGTAGTGTCTGAGGGTAACTTGGCATCACAACTTCTGCAGAACACAATTTTCAGATGTGGACACTCTGTGACCATCGAGGGACAAAACAGAGGCAATCCCCAACCACATCAGGACAAAGAGGACCCTCGACACCACAAAGTAACTCAATGTCCCCTCTTCCAACCCAAGATGGGTGAGTTATTTCTTGACTGAAGACAATTTAGTTCCTATTCAATATTCTCACCTCCTGGATAAAAATTACCAAGACACCAAAATGATCCTGCTTCATGACAACGCCCCAAAGATAACTGGTCCTTGCTTCCCTAAATCCTTATTAGAATCACTCAATACAAGGTCAAATCTACACTCAATTCCTGTTTTCTCTTCCTCATAGCTCCGTGGGTATGCACTTTTTCTCGGCACAATGAGTTTAAATAAATGCGATTTTGATTGCCCCCAGATGGGTTTCTGGGGATCTTTTGGCTGGTCACCTTCGACAATCCAAATTATGTAACAAAAAAAGCCCATCCATTCAGTGGTTTCATTTAGCTAGGTAACCCCAGCAAAGTTATAAATCTCTTGGTTCCTCAACCACAAAATGGAAATTGTATACTTCTTTGAGTTGCAGAGATTAAATGGGGATATACATAGAGCACTTGGTTGCAAAGTGCACCAAATAAATCAATAAACATTAGCCATTATAATTATTATGCTGTAAGACTGGGCTTGAAACTTTTATTCACCTTTAAGTTCAGAAAAAAATGTTTAGCGCTTCATGCAAGAAGCACTGAAGAAAAGGGAAGTTATCTTGGTTGTTATTTCTATGGTAAATGAATCGGCAGATTTCAAACTATCCGTTTTAAACACTTGAGGAATGCTGACTTCAGAATGCTTTGGTCCACATCTGCATATGTTCAGTGAGCGAATTACAGTCACAGCTCCAATCTACGAGGTTTACTTCAATTAGAACAAAATTGATCTTCTAAACAGGCTTAAAATAATCTTAGTCCATTATAACCATTTTTAGCTTGTTAATTTTTTTTACCAGTCCTATACTAAATATTATTAATGTATTAGACTGGATGGTAGACCATAGTCATACTTAGCCGAAGGCTGTTACTGTCCATTTATCTAATTTCTTTCAAGTATTAGATTAGAAACTATATGCTGATTTTCTACTGCTGAGCTATTCCAGCACCAGCAAACAAGATTATTGTAGTTTAAATTGAATAGATGAGGTATTATGGAAGTCTTCTTTGGATGGTAAATTCTTACATATTAAGATAAAGCGTTTTAGAACTATGAGGTAGTTTAAAGCCAATAATTATTTTAATTTGCTTGTCTTATAGACGAGGAAAGTGAGGGCTCAAGTATTCAAGACACTGGAGTGGACCTAACTTGTTGAGCTCAGGGTTAAGACTAGCTTGTAGGATTCCAAGCCCAAATACCCTGGTCAATTTACTGCTTCCAGAGCCTCAGAACAAACCGCATCTCTAACACTTACAGTGTGCTTCCCTCTGCCAAGCGCCGTGCAGAGATGATCTCATTTGTTCCTCGCAGTATCTCTGTAAAGGGTGATACTCTTAACTACTTTCCCACTTCACCTCGGAAGAAACTGAAGCTCACAGAGGCAGTGAGTGCTGAAGCCAGAGTGTTCTGGTTCCACAGCTCATACTACTAACCACTATGTCTAGGCCTTCCCCATCTCAGGCTCACCCAAAAACTCATCAACTGTTCATTTTAAGTCTCCCACTGCCAATGCACTGTCTGGAACGACAGTGTTTTTGGTCTTTGAACTTCCTCAGGCTGAGTCCTCTACAAGGAATGCCCTTGCTTCTTCTCCTCTTTCTCCTGGTCATCCGAGTTGGCTTGGGAACATTCATCCTTCAAACCCCACCATGGAAACCTCCCAGGCTTCTTCGCCACCCCGCCCTCTTTAGAAAGGACCACACTCTTCTGGCTTGTCCCCCACTGTCCACCAGTCATCTTCTCTTCACTGCTCTCTACCCATTTCCTGTCCCTTTCCAGGATTCCCTCTTCATTTTCTCTCTTGAATCCATTCTCTTCTTGTCTCTGCAGGCCATTGTCACCCGTCACCTGGACTAATTTCCTCTTTGCACTCTGCCTCCACCTTCATCCCCTTCCAACGTATTCTCCACACAGCGGCAGCAATCTTTCTAAAGCACAAACTGTACCACGATGCCTCTGTCAACAATCAACGGCTCCCTGCCATAATTAGGTCCTCCCTGTGTGACTGAGTCATCTGTCTCTGCTCCCCCCAGTCACATTTCTCACCACTGTCCCTCACCAGAGCCTTTCAGCCACTCAACCTGGCCAAGCTCTTTTCTTCCTTGAGCCTCTCACAAATGAGCCCCTTCTCTCTGGACCATCCTCCCCTCTCCCCTCTGTTAACTCTGCACATGGATGAGTTTCTTCTCATTCTTCCAGCCTCAGAGTAAGCGCCTCCTCAGAGAAGCCCACTGCTATCTGTCAATCACACTGGCTTTAATTGTGTCCTTTATACACTTATCACAATTCCCAACTGTCTGCTTCACTCAGTCTGTCTCCTCAACTGTAAGTGCCACGAAATCACGTGCACCCTGCTCCCCACTCTGCCTTTATTGCCCCGAACAGTGGCTGCTGGCACATGGTAGGTGCTGGTAAGCACTGTGTGGAGAAGTTAGTTCTACCCTGTTTGTATTTCTATCTTAGTACAACTTTATCTTCTTTCCTTATAACTTTATTAAAATTTATTATATCAATGTCTACCTGTCTATCAGCACAACACTTTTCCAACCTTCGTACTATATAAGAGAAAAATCACCTGGGGCGATTATTAAGAGTGCAGCTTCCTGGGTCACTGGCTAAGATCCTGCCTGACTCAGTAGTCTAGGGTGGGGCCCAAAAGTTCACAGTTTTACACTCATGAGGTGGTCCCAGAGGAATTTTCAGCATCACATTTAGAGGAAGAGTCTCAGTCTCGAAGTACCTTGAATCAGTATCAAATAAAGCACAGAAGACAAGAAAGAGAGCCCTGTGACTCACTAGAAACGACTGTCTTTCATTCCTTCACCGACAGCTATTTCTCTAGCACCCACTGTAAACCATTCACCAGGTATACGGCTGAGGAGACACGCACAGTTCTTGCCTTCCTGACAACACACTCATCATAGCATGCTGTGGTGTGTCCACAAGGGACACTGTTAGGTACCACAGCACACATAGCATGAGCATGCAGTGCAACCCTGGAGCGGGAGGTAGAGATGGTCAGGGGAAGAGTATGCATCATTGGAAGGCCTAACTCTCACATTGAGGGCATCTTCCTAACCCTAAATCAATGAGGGACCAGGGCTGGGCAGAAGCTGGCAGACAAAGAGGAGCAGCACGGAAGCTCCCATCTGCTTAACTCAAAGCCATCAGCACCAACACTGAGGCCTTGAGATTTGGGCCAGAGCTCTCCCCTCGGGGACACACTGCCTAACAGGCGGGTCGCATTTCACGGCTGCAGCCCAGGCTAACCCTGCAGCACAAGCCAGGCTCACTGGACTCGTGGTTTCCAGATGGCACATCAAGAGGGGGGCCCAGGTTAGCGAGCGTTCCCTTGGGTTTCTGCATCTTTGCCGCAGTCCCGAGATTTAGTGCTCTCTGGGAAGGACCACGTGACGGGCTTTAGCCCCGGAGAAAACAAGAACTGGAAGCTAAGTCTCCCGTCCACTGCTATTTGCCTCCTTTCATTTCTGTGAAAGAAATGAAATGGCCTTAAAATAAAAATTTATGATTTACATGGCACATTGGTAAAAAATTCCCATTCTAGGACATGAGGAGTCGCTTTCAGGGATTTAATAAAAGAAAAGAAAAAAGGAAAAAAAAAAAAGAAAAGCCTCTTTTCTCCAGTGAATTAACAGAGGGGTGGTTCCCATTTGTCCCGTGTCTTCTCCCACATCACAGCTGGCATCAGCCCCCCTCCACCTGCCACCTCCCTTCTTTCCAGCCCTCTCCCAGCAGCCTTTCCTTCATGCACCCCAGCTGGGGCCTGATGGGATGGGGGACGGCAATACAGAACACTTCCCCCTCTCACCACGTTTTGCTCAGCGGTGTCATCATCTGCCTAGACTCTACGGTTATCTTATTTTGTAACAAGAGATTGGAAATCCTTCCCCCATCTCCATTCCAAAGAGAAGCAGCTATTTCTTCAAATAATAGGATCTCCGATGCCAGGAGAAAATTGTACCTGTTGAAATTGCCATGAGGGGTCCACAGCTGAACTGAAAAGAGACACCTATATTCAAGGTATATCATGTGCCAGGAGGGGAAAGAATTAGCCCACCCTCTGCTCTGAGCTTCGCCTTCCCTGAAGGTCTGTCTTTCTGGTCTGATTCTCACTGTCCACAACATCAAAACAAAATACCCACAATTCCTTTTTGAGGAGGGCTGGAGTCAACTACACTTTAACCCTATCATCAAGTCTACACAGCTGTTAGTGCTCGCAGACCTAGACAACAACCATTACAGAAGCAATGAAAATAAAAGAAAAACCGTGCTCTAAAGTGTAGACAAATGTCAATTTATTTTGTGACATAGGGATACAAATAATTTTTTCTGTGCTCTTCAACACTTTTGAAATAAGTCTCAAAATTAAAAAACAACACAAAACAAAACAAATTTTGGCTTGCTAAGTCATTTGTGTCACTGAGATTTTGCAAAAGGCTGAAATTCACTCCAGGGAGAAACTCCTAGAGTGAAGAAACACAGGACTTAATAAACTCAAACTTATTTTAACATATGCAAATACTTTTATTCATAACATTATTCAAGGCAGAAAATTTCGCTCAGTTACCTTTTAGACTAGATCATAAAAAGAGACTCATCAAAAAAGATGTCAATTCATTTTGTCTACTGTTAGCCTAAATAATTACTCAAACATTTGCTCTGAATTCAATATACATATTTTAAAGATAAATTTGTCTCAGTAACAATTGAAGGGTAGTGTGACTCATGCAGCAAATGGAAAATTATTCCATTTTCAACTATACTTAACGTTGTCCTTAAAAAAACTTTTAAGGATACTTGAAAATCTGCAGATAAAAAATACTGATATAAAAAAACCAAATACAATATATTAAGAAAATAAAGAATCAACTTTCAGAGAAGTTTTAAAATCCCTGGTCTGAAATGGACAAGAGATCAGATATTCCAGGAGGCAACAGTACGCATTTTAAAATTCCCTTTTGAAGACCCCCATAAGGAAGGGACTTTTTAGGTTGGTGTTTACCTTTTCCTCCTTCGCTTTTTAATGGAAAATTTCAAACATGGAAAAGCAGACGAAATAGTGTAATGAACTCATTTGTACCCATCATCTAATCTCAGTGATTATGAGCTCATAATTAAGTCTTGAATCATCTGTCCACCCTCCTCTCAATTATTTGGAAGCAAATCATGGATGTATCACTTCCTCTGTAAATAAACATGTATTTGTAAAATATCATAATTTCTCAAATTAATACAAGATGGGTGTTTATTTTGGTTGGGTCTGCTCCCCCATATGCCTTCCCAAATTAGCCATGAAATGATTCTTGAAACTAGTTGCAAACAAGATTAGTCATATTTTGTTTTAAACACCAAATGGAAAGGAGTTCTTGACTATTCGGTGTTAGTACTTCTCTTTATTTTTCTTTTCTCTTTTTTTTAAATCACATTGGCCCTAACTCTTTAGGGCCACAAGTTCAAGCCCCAGTGGGTACTTTCTTCCTTGATGAAAACAAAGGGGTAATAAACTGTGCTGGTGGTGAAAAAAGGAAGGGGAGAGGGCCCCCACTTTTACATTTACTGGCACTAATAAAATAACCTCCATGAAGGAATAATGGGGATGGGGGATGGGAAGCCCCACAAATCAGAGGTCCCTCAGCCTCAGCCCAGAAACAGAAAAATGCTTTGCTTTTAAAACTGCTGCTGCCTCAGGAATGATTATTAACAGGCTTCAAAGACCAAGGATACCCCCGACCCTACCCCCAACAAAGTTCTATAGAAACACTAGAAGAAAGGAAAGGACAGGAAATACTGAGCTTTCACTTTAAGCTGGAAGCCCAAACCAATTAGATCTCACTTACCTTATAACGTGTTTGTTCCACATCATAGATCTTTTTCTCCGATACCATTTTGGGTGCAAAGAACTTGGCTAACTTGGCAAGGTAAACTCCATTCCGGAGCCCTTCTTCCAGTTCAGTGGTTGGTGGCAGTTCTTCAACTAAGCAGACTTCCATCCACCTAAAGAAATGAAAAAAACCTTGAAGTGACTCCAGTTGGGTAACTTTCTATAAATGAGGAGCTGCGGTATCTCACTACCTGTGATGGAGGCATTAACAAAGGGAGAAGGACCCGAAACATCTTTAGGGAAGAGAGGACTTTCTGGGTGGGACAAGGATTCGGAACAGAGATGCACTGGGGGACTGCAAGCCCAGAGGCACTGAACCCACCACCGCGCCAGAGCTCGTCAATTCACCTTTGTCTGAGTCTCTGCCAATTCTCTTTTGTGCCAAAGAGGAAAAAAGCCAGCCCATTTTTGTATGTGTGGAATTCATCTTGCTGACGTTACGGAAAACACAGCTCCAAGTTTATGAGCCCTTAGTGGAGGACATTCTTGGAGGGGTTAGGCTGGGGGGAGAGCATGGTCCAGGGTGCGGTAAAATCTGCAGTTGCCTCACTCTGGAAATGACTACCAGGAAAGGTAGGAAGGCATGGGAAAGGGACATCAAAATTCAGAAAGCAGACACAGTCTTCATTAAATAAGAGACATTCCTGTTTTCCAATACCAGGAACTTATTACAACATGCTTACCTTTTCGGGAAGTTATTTACTGGGTTCTGGAAAAGTATTTCAGAAAAAGATCAGATTAAATCTTCGGACACTGTGCCGGTATTGGGGAACGGAGAGCACCAAGTTCATTACCGGCTCAAGGACACACAGGGGGAGGGGAGCTAGGCCAGTTCACATTTCATGCAGGTGTGCTGAGACTGCCTGGGTTAAGAGGACACTGCTGTTCCTATCCATCTCGGGGAACTCTACCTACTCTACGCCCCAAGAGGCAGGAGTGCAAGCTCTCACCTCCGTGCCACTGACCCACCACCAGATCATCAGCATTAGTGTGCGCACCACTCCCATACAGCCACTCCCCTTGGAGGGTCACTGACACGAACGCGGCTGATCCTGCCAACACCTGGCAGTCCGTGGAGCGCTGTTCTGCAGTGTTAACAACTGATCCTGATCCAAGCAGCAAATGCTGTAACACGCCTGACTTGCTTGTAGCTCTGGGTACCTTTTAGAAGCTCAAAGGGTCCCTAATCAGCAAGGACTATTTACTGACCACTTATTAGGCAAAATAAAACACGGAGTATATGAGAAAAACAAACATAAGCCCTGACTTCAAAGAGCATTAAATATAATTGAGAAGGCAACACCATGGCAAGGAAAACCCAGAGGGCCGCGTGAGGAAGGCTGTCGTGCCCAGTGCCATGTGTTAGTGCGTACGAAGTAAAGGTTTGGGAAGGAAGGAGGGTCACGGGGTTATCGCTGGAGCAATGGGGAAAACAATGAGAAGGTGGTGGGGCCTGGATTTGGTCTAGAAAAAGGGAGTATTTGGAAAGGCTGGGGGAGCAGGACAGACTAAAGCCATAAGGGAAACATGGCTGACTCACAGGGCAAAGCCAGAGATGGCTTTGGGCCTTCGGGGTTTATGGGGAGAACGGGAACAAGGCCGAGATACACAGGGAAGTCAGGCTCCAGAGGACGAAGCCCAGGAGGAGACGGGATGGTACTTGTTGCTACAAGAAGCAGGGGGCTCTTGACAGCTTCACAGCAGAGGATTGACAGGCTGACAGAGCTAAAGAGGGAAAATCAGTCTTGTGTGATGACTGCCCCAAAGACAAAGCGCTCTGTCAGGCCTTTCCCGTCACGAGTTGCTGAGGGGCTGGGTTAGACAGGAACAGGTGGCAAGGGACGAAACCCAGAGACATTTCAAGAAAATGGTAACAAGACTAGGTGACAGCTCAGAAAGGGGGTGAGGAGGGGATCAAAGAAAAGAGAACATCACCAGCCAGGGAGAGAGGCCCCATGTGGAGGGAGCCCTCGGCACCAGGACTCAGCCCCTCGCCCATCTTGTGACCCCAGGCACGTCCCCCAGCCTCTCTGGGCCTCAGTTTTCTCTTCTGCTAAAGGTGCTGGAGGTGGGAAGGATGGGATTTAGGGTCCCTCCCTGCTTGAACATCTTAGGGGGACTGGGGAGACTGGGAGAACAAGGAACCACAAAACAAGATGATGAACATGGCTTTCACGTATCATACACAAGGCGAGCGAGGGTTACTTGGTTATACAAGCCTTGCTTCCAGTGAACTCAAGTAAGAGTACCGCAGGCTTGATACATTTTCAACAAGAAATTAATAACAACATTGTCTTTTGGTAAAAATCTGGTCAAGTTAAAAGCCACTGCACTAGACCAAGTCTCTAATCTAAACAACCTACCAATTACAGCACACATGAAATAATGTTAAAATACAATCTGTTTTCAAAAGGGAAAAAAGAAAAAAGCCACAATCTGTTTTCAAATACTTACCTTGCAAAAATTTAAGAAATTGTTTTTTGAATGACAATATGTAATTGCTTTATAATAATCCCATAATTGAGGGTAGATGTGTCAAGGGTTGGGGAGAGAGAAACTGACAATTTGTCACAGAAGTGCGGGGAGATACACTGACATGTGGGACCAAGGAGCAGGAGGCTAAAATAAAAACAGCTCGGAAGTGTGATATTTTATACTTGCGTCTTTTTTAAATGATAATTACATTAATTTTTGTCTGTATTAGAATATGTGTGCAGTTGGCTCAAAACACTAATTCTTACAAAAACTTAGGTTAACTATAGCCTACTTAAGAGGTAGTCACTGTTAAAGTTTAAGACATCATGAAGGGCTCGAAGACAAAGGCCACCTCTTCTTCCTTTCTATAATCTCTTTGTCCTGGAAATATGGTTCCAGACAGTGGGTACCCAACAGATTGTCATGACATAAAAGATTCTGACTGCTTACGAAAAGTTTTCCAAGCATCACAGTTACATCACAAAATCTTTTAGGGAATGGCCAAAGACCTGTAAACGTTCCATTTTTGCAACATCAGGCATCCACGGAGCTATGTCCTTTTCACTATCTGGAGAGTCAAAAGAAGACGCTGCCATCATCAGTGCTGACAGTGTTTATTAAGCACTATTTTGTTCTAGAACCTGGATTTAATACTTCATGGGGATTATAATTTAATCCTCAAAGTCACCCCAGAAGGAAAGGTGCTGTTAGGACCACCATTTGCAGATGCTAATCAGAGGCTCAGAACAGCCCAGGCCATACAGCTTCTAATGGAAAGACATCCAAAAGCTGTTCTAATTCCAACTTTTAACTCTCACGACTCACCAAACAGAAGAGCGCAGTCCCACAGCCTTGTGTAAAATAAAAGTGATAACAGGATATCCCAGTCTCCTTCCAGAGTCAGAGTCAGGGCGCAGGTGTGGAGATGCACACACTGTCACTCTTCAGTGTAAGGTCAGGGGAGAGCATATTCACCGTCAAAGTTGAGCAAATGCCCTGGGGTTACATTTATTCTTTTAGAACTCCCTGTCAGTCACCTAACCTCACAACAGTAACTGATAAGCGGCCTGGGCAGTGCGCCTTGAGGGTGCTGTTGCAAATTCGTGTGGGCTTTGGGAAGCTTTGAGCCCATCCACATGGAGTCACCTCTTGGAGAACTCAGGCAAGCCCAGACAGGATCTCAAAGGGTCTCCTCATAATACACTGCCTGGAAACTTATTATTAGTCAGTATATGATCAATACACATTGACTGAGAGCAAGACCATTCTTCTAGAACAGCCTGGCTCCTTAACACTGCCCTCATGGTATTAAAGCAATGTTAAGGAAGTAGGACTCTGAGATGCCAACTTCTAAACTAGAACACGGTCATCGTGTGGGCTGAATATCCTTTGGATCTCCTTTTCAAAAGCGTATGGGAAGAGAACTTGGAGCACGGGTACCAAATGGTTCATCGCAGGGTCTAGGAGAGCTGGAGGTGGCTGCTGGCCAGGGGCTGCATCTCCCAGCCCCAAGGTATCAGTGTGGGGCTGAGCGGCTGTGCTGGGGGCACAGAACGTGAGAGGAAATGGTGTGCTTCGCCCTGAGTCATGCTCCAGAAAAGCCTCCCAAGGCTGGGCCCCCAGTCTCCCCTCCCCCGTCTGCTGGCTGGATATGAAGGCCCAAGGACCACAACAACCTTGAAAGAGAAGAGGAAGAACTTACACCAGCCCGGCTCCTCTGTGTATCCCCTAATCCTTGCCTTCTGCCACTGAACCTTACATGAAGAATTAAACTCCTACTGTCAACCTCAGTGGCCTATCTGTCATATAAGCCACTGTGACCCAACCAAACCAATAACATTCGCTGTGTGATTTTTATGGTCTGTTGGGGGTCAAACTTCCTGTAACTATCACAACACAGAAGCAACTGGCCTGATGTTCAAGAAGTCTGGCTCTGCGATCACTAGCTGGATGCATCGGAGCAAGTCACTTAAAACTCTGAGCTGCATTTCAGTCCATGAGTCTAAAATTATCAATGGAACTCTATGTGACACTAATTATGCAATATGATCTTGTTTTGTTTAACAGCAGCTTTACTGAGAGACAATTCACACACCATACACTTACTCATTTAAGATGCACAAAGCAATGCTTTTCAGTATAGGCACAGGACTGTGAAACCACCACTTAATCAATTTTAGAATATTTTCATCACTCCAAAAAGAAACTCATTAACAGTCACTCCCCATTTACTCTCAAATTTCCAACCCTCTAAACTACTTTCTGTCTACAGATCTGCTTATTTAAGGACATCTCGTATAAATGGAATTATACAACATGTGACTGCCTGTGATAGCTTCTTTCACGTACCATAATGTTTCCAGGTTCATCTATTGTATAGAATGTATTAGTGCTTCCTTCCTTTTTATTGCCAAATAATTTCTACTATATAGAGATAGATCATATTTTATTTATCAGTTTATGGACATTGGGTCTTTTCCACTTTTTGGGCTATTATGACTAATCCTGCTATAAACATTAGTGTCCAAGTTTTTGCATGGACATATATTCTCATTTCTCTTGGGTATATACGTAGGAACAGAATTTCTAGGTCATAAGGTAACTATGTTTAATCTTTTTAGGAATGTCCAGACTGTTC